CGGATCCAGTCGATCAACACCTCAGTGACCTCACCCTTGCTGCGCAAGGGGAAGACTGTGGTGTAACGCGAGTAGTCATCAACGACCATCAGGAAGTAACGCTCGTGACCCTGTCCACGGACGCGGGCTGGGCCCCACACGTCCATGTGGAGAGTCTGCAGGGGAGCCTTTGTCGGAGGGAACTCGGAGGAGTGAGGAGCGGCGCATTGCCGGCCCTCGACACAAGGAACACAGGTAGGGGCAGGCCCCGGAGGAAGGGAGGGAGGGACCGGGGAAGACCAGAGACAAGGGTACGGGAGGCCATACCTCGAAGACGAGGCAGGGAGGGGTGACCAAGGCGGTGGTGCCAAAGGAGAGTCTCGTGTGACAGAGGACGACACGAGCAGGGGGCAGACGCTGGACTAGACCTGGACGCGGCAGCAAACACCTGACCAGACGCGGCTACCTGACCAGACGCAGTAACTGGAGGAGACGCAGTAGTCAGTGTGTACAGACTCGACCCAGGCCGACGGGTGAACGTGGCCAGGTGGCGGCCCGTCCGAGAGCAAGTGCAGTGGGTCACACGCTGACCTGCAAGGGTGAACTGGTCAACCCACACGTCCTGGAGGTCAGCTCCACTCACCAAGTTCGTAGAGAACGAGGGGAGGTGGAGTCCTGACAGCAAGCCCGACGCGGCCGCAGGACACGGTAGAACCGTGGAAGAGTGCGCAAGGACTGGGCCCCTAGAGGGGTCAGCTAGGGAGAGTGTGACAGGCCGACTGAGCGGCGTGAGTGTGGTGCTGTCGCGAAAGAAGGAGCGCGAAGCACCAAAGTCAAGTGTGAAAGTGTGCAAGGCCTCAGTAGGTGCAGTACCAGAGAGAGCAGACTCATCAGTACCTGGAGCAGCAGACTCACTAGTACCTGGAGCAGCAGACTCACTAGTACCTGGAGCAGCAGACTCTCTAGCACCTAGAGCAGCAGCCTCAATGCCCGGGTCGGGCGAAACACACAGGTAACAGTCACCCTCAGCACTATCAGTCGCAGCATACATGGCAGCAAGGATAGCATCGAAATCAAGATCAAAGATAGCAACATTCTGCTTAAGCAGATTACCCCAGCGAGCGAGCTCAACAGCGTCAGGAAATTGGGCGCGCCAGGCGTCGGTCAGGCAACCGAAGCAGCGCTGCGTAGTGTGTGGCAGCCCGCACGTCTCCCCACAGCGCCCGCCGGTGCGAAGAACGTAAATGCAGGGACCAACACCCCCAGACCTCCCACGCCCAGCGTACCACTCACGAAGCTGCTGGGCCGACGGGTTCTCACAGGAACGCGGCTGCTGCTGGCGCTGGCTGCCACCAAAGCCTCCACGCTGCGCGGCTCCACCTCGACCAGCACTACCGCCGCTGCCACCTCCACCACCGCTGCTGCTGCCTCCACCGCCGCTGCCGCTGCCTCCACCACCCCCACCGCCGCCACCGAAGCCCCCACTCCCGCCACCACCCCCACCTCCACCGCCACCCCCTCCGCCTCCTCCACCGCCTCCACCGCCGCCCCCACCGTCCCCTCCACCACCCTTGCCCCCCTTGCCCTTGCTGTTGCGGCACCTCCCACTAGGAGCAGACGCAGCCCCGACCTCCTCAGTGCCAACGAGGTCGACAGCAGCAGCAGAAGCAACAGAGGGGAGAAGGGGGACAGGGGAACACCCCTCAAAGAAAGGGGCGCGAGGGTCGCCGCGAGAAGCACCTACAGCAACGATACTCTTCTCAGCTGCAGTGAGGCGCTCCTCTAGCAGGTCGACGGTGAGCTCGGTGGGGCAAAGGGAGAGAAAGTGGTCCCTGAATGAAGCAAGGGAGTCAGGGAGGCGGGTGACTAGGTAGTAAAGGGTGATGTACATGGGGGGGGGGGGTTCTTGGCACAAAACTTAGTGGGAAGCGCAGCGCGGTAGCGGGCGTCACTAGTGCGGAGGTGAGTAATGAGGTCAGCGACTGTGGCAAAGGCTGCAAGGTCAGGGAACAGGTACGACAGCATGAGGCAGCTGAGGGCAGCAGTGGCAGGGGAGGAGTAGCGCGCTACGACAGCGTCATACAAAGTGCGTGCGCTCAGCAGACGGCAGGTCACTACGAACAGCAAGGCGAGCAACAGCGTCACGAGTGGTCCACTGCGAGCAAACCGTACTGTCAGCAGTGGCAGCAGGTGCAGGAGAGACACCGGACGTGTGATCGAAAAGGGATACTCCGTCCTTAGATTCACACTGAAGAAAGAGCTGCAGGTCGTCAACCCACACGTCAAAGTCAACCGCACGCCCCTCAGCATCAAAGGTAAGAACATTAGGGCTAGCCATAGCGGCAGTAGCAGCAGCGGCAGCGGTAGCAGCAGTGGCAGCAGAAGCAGCAGTAGCAGCAGGAGCAGCGCAGGTAGGGCAGTGCGGCTCAGTAGGGCGGCGCGGCTCGGCAGGGCGGAGCGGCTCGGTAGTGCAGCGCGGCTCGGCTGGGCGGCGCGGCGCGGCTCCTGGCGGCGCGGCTCGGAGGAGCGGCGCGGCTCGGCTGGGCGGCGCGGGTGCTTACCAGGGGCGGGTGCAGGGCAGGGCCGCAGCTGGCGGTTAGGTTTGGGGCGCGACTGGGGCGGCAGCAGAGCAGGGCCGCTACTTGGCGGCGGTAGAGCAGGGCCGCGACTGGGGCGGCTGAAGGGCAGGGCCGCGACGCGTCGGCGGCAGCGCAGGGCCGCGACAGGGCGGCGGCAGGGCAGGGCCGCGGCTGGACGGCAGGGTAGGGCAGGGCCGCGACGAGCAGCGGCAGGGCAGAGGCCGTGGCGGGCGGCAAGGTCGGGGCCGCGACGAGAGGCGGCAGGGTAGGGCCGCGACAGGCGGCTAGTGTAGGCTGCGACGGGCGGCAAGGCAGGGCCGCGGGTGGCGGCAGGGCAGGGCCGCGACTAGGCGGCTAGGTCGGGGCCGCGACGAGGCGGCGAGAGGGCAAGGCCGCGACGGGCCAAGAAAGCAGGGGGGCGCGACGGGCCGTTAGGGCAGGTCCGCGACGGGCCGAGAAGGCAGAGCCTTGACGGGCGGCACTAGGGCAGGGCGCGCGACGGTGCAGGTGAGGCAGGCGCGAGGCGCGCTTCGGGCAGGGCAGGAAAAAAAAAATGTTATCGTGGTGGGCCCTACCGTTATCGCCCGGATATAAGACATATATGTCTTATCTCGTACACGGGCAAAAATGCTTGAGTTATCTTGTAAACGGGATGGTTTAGGGTGTCTTATAAGTCTTATAAATGGAAACTTTTTAAACTACTTATAAATATTTTCCGTACTTCTTTAAAAAGAGTTTCTCATAATGCGTGTGGATGTTGCGAAGGTGCCACTTCGATAACCTCTGCCCGAGACGCCACGTTATGGAGAACACCTGCAGGGGCAAATTTGGTAGGTACTGGGTCAGCGCGTGGAAGAATTCGCGCTTCGCAAGGGTAAAAAAGTACGCGGTACTTCAACTTTCGCTATAATTTATTGAAGTTTCGATTATAAGACATATATGTCTTATCTCATACACACAAATAGGTGTCTTATAATGAGGCTAGCCTGTTTATAAGAGACACCCGTATAGTAGACAACCCCTGTCTACTATTCAACACTGTCTTATATCCGGGTGATGACGGTAAAATAAAACGTTCCCACGAGGGAACCTTCTCAGAATACCATGTCCGAATAGTGAAGGAAGGAATGACTGAAGTAGAAAGCAGGTGGGTACAAGTAGGAAACCTAAAAGTGTTGTACCCTATATGAACTACCCCACTACAGCCTAGACAGACTAAAGCATATAAGTTTGACACAGGATGCCCAAAATCCTAGCACAGGCCCTGGTTGCATGCCATTCCGCATAAGCTTTAGTTTTTTTCTGCCCAGAGCAGCAGTTTTCGTGGGCGGACTCATTTGTCCGTTGAGATATATCAAGAGGAACGAGATTACGGTACTCTCCATGATGTGCCTAAGCCTTTGTAAAAGACCCTAGGTTCCATGGTGTGGGTTTGGTCTTTTTAGGCGCTTACAGTGGAAGTCCAGCTGTGGTTCACAACAAAACAGGTTTGCAATCGCCAAGTACAAATGACAAACAAAGAAACCTAGAATTACAAGGTAGCACACAAAGCGCCGAAAGCTTGCAATCTTTCTGAAGAAACAAGAACTATGCTCTATGGTACAACAGACAGACCAACAAGCATGCAAAAATACTCAGGATACTCGCACTAAATATCCAGCCAACCGTCAGCCAAGTCAGTTCCTAGCCTCCAAGCAACCGCAAGCAGTTGCTCCGCACCTCTGCTCCATCAGCCCCCGCCGATATAACGTCGCTCTGACGCTGCCAGCTTGCACCTCCTTAACCCCCTGCCCATCCCACTAGGGCCGCCCGTTCTTTGCTTGTCCCACCAGCCCCTTCATAGTGGATGCGATCAAGCTATACTTGCAAAGGGGAAGGGTCAAATGGAGGGCAGGCCGCAGCATAAGAAGTGAGATGCAACAGAAGATGATAGAGGACGATGTGCAACAGAAGATGATAGAGGACGATGTGCAACAGAAGATGATAGAGGACGATGTGCAACAGAAGATGATAGAGGACGATGTGCAACAGAAGATGATAGAGGACGATGTGCAACAGAAGATGATAGAGGACGATGTGCAACTGACATGTGGGTGGGTTGTTCACAGGTGCATTTGGGAGGTGGAGAATTGGCTGCACCGGTTGGAACAGAGCACAGCACAAATCACCCTTAGGTCAGAGCATGCATTTATACCCCTCCCTTAGGTCTGCACCCACACTTCAGAGCATGCGTTTCTCCCTCTCCCTTACGTGTGGTGCACCCACACTTACTAATCTGGCAGCCAACTGATTGCAGCGATTGGGATGCTTTCTTGAGAATCCTGAGAGAGGGAGAAGTAAGGATAGGGAAGGATAGGGAAGAGCACAGATGAGGACAGTCCCTCCATTCATGCTACAACGGCCAAGAAAGCTCTGGTGATCGATGAGTGTTGTACCCATGGGTTAGAAGAAGACAGGATGCATCACACATGTGCCGTGCATCACACATGTGCCGTGCATCACACATGTGCCGTGCATCACACATGTGCCGTGCATCACACATGTGCCGTGCATCACACATGTGCCGTGCATCACACATGTGCCGTGCATCACACATGTGCCGTGCATCACACATGTGCCGTGCATCACACATGTGCCGTGCATCACACATGTGCCGTGCATCACACATGTGCCGTGCATCACACATGTGCCGTGCATCACACATGTGCCGTGCATCACACATGTGCCGTGCATCACACATGTGCCGTGCATCACACATGTGCCGTGCATCACACATGTGCCGTGCATCACACATGTGCCGTGCATCACACATGTGCCGTGCATCACACATGTGCCGTGCATCACACATGTGCCGTGCATCACACATGTGCCGTGCATCACACATGTGCCGTGCATCACACATGTGCCGTGCATCACACATGTGCCGTGCATCACACATGTGCCGTGCATCACACATGTGCCGTGCATCACACATGTGCCGTGCATCACACATGTGCCGTGCATCACACATGTGCCGTGCATCACACATGTGCCGTGCATCACACATGTGCCGTGCATCACACATGTGCCGTGCATCACACATGTGCCGTGCATCACACATGTGCCGTGCATCACACATGTGCCGTGCATCACACATGTGCCGTGCATCACACATGTGCCGTGCATCACACATGTGCCGTGCATCACACATGTGCCGTGCATCACACATGTGCCGTGCATCACACATGTGCCGTGCATCACACATGTGCCGTGCATCACACATGTGCCGTGCATCACACATGTGCCGTGCATCACACATGTGCCGTGCATCACACATGTGCCGTGCATCACACATGTGCCGTGCATCACACATGTGCCGTGCATCACACATGTGCCGTGCATCACACATGTGCCGTGCATCACACATGTGCCGTGCATCACACATGTGCCGTGCATCACACATGTGCCGTGCATCACACATGTGCCGTGCATCACACATGTGCCGTGCATCACACATGTGCCGTGCATCACACATGTGCCGTGCATCACACATGTGCCGTGCATCACACATGTGCCGTGCATCACACATGTGCCGTGCATCACACATGTGCCGTGCATCACACATGTGCCATGCATCACACATGTGCCGTGCATCACACATGTGCCGTGCATCACACATGTGCCATGCATCACACAAGTGCCCTGCACAACGCTCACACACCCTTTCGTGACGGGGTAGCCACGGCCCTTCCACGCAGGGCGTGCGATCGTCACGCCCGGCTGGCCCGAGCAGCCCGGGCCGGAGTAGAACGTGAGGCTCTGGCACATGCCGTTTTCAGCTCCAGCGAGCTTCGCGACTCTCCACACGACCGTTGCCTTGGTGTGGCTGCCGATGCTGGAGGTCAGGTCCGTGCACGCGGTGGTGCCACCGATCGCATCTGCCGGCGCATCGGTGGAGAAAGTGAGCCTCTGCTTCTTGGCCTTGCGCTTGCGCCCAGAGTTGGGGCCCTGCAGCTCCAGCGTCGTGCGGAGTAGGGGGCCTGTGGGGAGGGCGGGACGGGGGAAAGCAGGAGAATGGAGGTGCAGTGGAGAAGGTGCGCCTCTGCTTCTTGGCCTTGCGCTTGCGCCCAGAGTTACCTTGCAGCTCCAACGTCGTGCGGAGTAGGGGGCCTGAGCGGAGGACAGGAAACAGGCAGGGGACAGGAAAGGAGAGAGGCAGGCAGGGGAGAATGTGCGGGAGGAGTGAGGAGATGAAAGCAGCCGAGTAGCTCCACCGTCGTCTAGAATACGGGGTATGAGCGGCGGTGAGACAGTTGACGACACGAATGGGGGTTTGAAGGCGTCGAGTTGGGGGTGTCATGGCGGAGAGGAGAGGAAGGGGGCAGGTAGGGGGGGAGGTGTGGGAGGGGTAAGGAGACGAAAGCGGTTGGTCAACGTTCTGGTGACATGCCTCCAGGAGCTGCCTCTCAGCGTTGCCTCCAAGGAATCTCAGCGTTGCGTCTCAGGTGCGGGAGGAGTTAGGAGACCAAGTGCTAACTCCAGAAATGTGTTTGTTTAACGAAATGAATCGTCTACAACTCATGAGTGCAGCACTCACCAAAGCACGTCTTGTAAACGTCGCTGAAGATAAAACCAGCGGTGGAGCACACGCACACAGGATCGCCAGCAGCGTTGGGAGAGCAGGAAGCCGTGGAGCCACAATCCAGGGCAGCACACGGGTCTGCAGAGGCGATCATGGCTGGTTGCGGGGTGTAAGTAGGGGAAGGGGCTTGGATGAGTTGAACTCTTGCTTATGATGATGAGCTCACCCGCACACACACACTCATCCACACATGCACGCCCCCCACACATGCACACTCACATACACACGCACACTCACATACACACGCACACTCACATACACACGCACACTCACATACACACGCACACTCACATACACACGCACACTCACACACACGCACACTCACCCACACACGCACACTCACCCACACACGCACACTCACATACACACGCACACTCACCCACACACGCACACTCACCCACACACGCACACTCACCCACACACGCACACTCACCCACACACGCACACTCACACACGCACACTCACCCACACAGGTCAGCCTACTCACCATCAACAGCGCTGGCGTGGGTCGCGAGGAACCACACTCCATCACTCTCCCACACTCCATCACTCGCCCACACTCCATCACTCGCCCACACTCCATCACTCGCCCACACTCCATCACTCACCCACACTCCCAACACTCACCCACACTCCCACCACCATCGCATGTGTTCTCAAGTTCATTGAAGGCAGAACCATCCAAGCACTCGCACACACCAGCAGTGCCATCGGCACTCACAACGCACTGAGCATCGCTCCCACAATCCTTGTTACCACACACGCCTGCACAGGGAATCAAGGGTTGTTTCAAGGTACAGTAGCGAAAGGGGTCACAAGAGAGATGTTTTTTTTTTTTTTTTTTTTCATATCGTTGCCCTCACACTCACTGCGGGCATCACTTGCCAGCTTTCAGCGTCAGCTTTCAAGAGCGAAGAGTTTCCAGGCGCTGCCACTTGGGGGTGGCATAGCTCTCCAGTGTGGGAAGCAAAAGCGTGGGAAGCAAGAGGGTGGGAAGTAAGAGGGTGGGAAGCAAGAGCGTGGGAAGCAAGAGGGTGGGAAGCATGAGCGTGGGAAGCAAGAGGGTGGGAAGCAAGAGCGTGGGAAGCAAGAGTGTGGGAAGCAAGAGTGTGGGATGCAAGAGTGTGGGAAGCAAGAGTGTGGGAAGCAAGAGTGTGGGAAGCAAGAGTGTGGGAAGCAAGAGTGTGGGATGCAAGAGTGTGGGATGCAAGAGTGTGGGAAGCAAGAGTGTGGGATGCAAGTGTGTGGGAAGCAAGAGCGTGGGAAGCAAGAGTGTGGGAAGCAAGAGTGTGGGATGCAAGTGTGTGGGAAGCAAGAGCGTGGGAAGCAAGAGTGAGAATCAGTTGGGTGCCATGGGCAGTGCCAGTGGTGTGTGGCAGTCAGCCTACTCACCAATTTCAACAGCGGCGCTGGCGTGGGTCGCGAGGAAGCTGATGGCAACGAGGAGTGCGGCGGCGCCAAGCCCGTACAGCCGCCCGAAGCGCCGGTCCATGATCACGAAAGGAGACGAGCCGGGCCGGAGGAACCAAGGAGATTGCGACAGCAGATTGCTCGCGTCGATGCCAAGAAGGCTTCAAGGACAGTCGCTTTTGGGTCGACTCTCTGCGTTAGAAAGTGACGAGGAGATGGAGACAGTCGATCGCTCGTAGTCGTGACGAGGCGAAATTGGGTGGGAAGTCGAAGGTGGCACGGCGACTCGGGAGGGAGGAGACGAGAAGGAGAGACGCGCAAAGGGCGAGCAGCGGAGTGTGAGAATGTGATTGCTGCTTTGGAAGCGGGCGTGGATTTATGTGTTGAGAGTGAGTGGTCAATCGCTCCGTTTGATTTATTGGTATCCTTAGAAATAAAGCTAATCTTGCGGACACGCGCATCATGGAACGCGTTTAATCGCGGAAAAGAGAAGGGGAAACACGAGGGGAGGCGCCGCAGGACGCGCAGAAGCAGGGGGTGCCAGGGAGGAAGGGGGATCATCGCAACGCCGAAGCTTGGAAATGTGCATTGCGCGAGACGGCTATGCGAACGTGTTGCCGTTTTAATTGGACGAGGCAGGATCAAACTCCGTGACGCGTTGCCACCACGCGAAAAGGATTTCCGCCTCTAGTAGTAATTCTAGAAGCGCGCTTGTGCACCAGGGATGAGAGAACTGCGGGACTTGCGGAAGTGATTAATTGTCAGCGTGAAAGTCAAGTGATTGCTCGGAACGCGTATTAGAAGCAAAATGGGGGGATACATTGTAGTCTCAGGCATAAAAAAAACTTTCTTAAAACCGATCTAGGTTGGTACTTAACAAGATTGAAAAGAGGTTGAGGATTTATTGGTACGGTAGTTGTTTCTCAGTAATTTGTTGTATAGCGTTCTCTGGTTTGCATCTGTCGCTCAAAAGTGATCAAGTGGGGGGGGGGGAGGGGTGTTATGCACCGGAAAATATGGTACAGCACATGCTGCTAGACAACTTCTACTCAACACTCTCTACAGATCACTACCGCACAGCACCGCAACACACCGCCTTGTCCCTCACTCAGCCAGCATCTGCTCCGAGTCAACGTCATCGCCCGTGTCCATCTGCGGCTTGCCCCCTCCCGGTGCGCCGCCCGCCTGCTTCTTCTTGAGCCCGCTGACGATGTCGTCGATGCGCAGCAGCATACATGCCGCCTCGATGGCTGTCTTCACTGTCTGCACCTTCACTCCATACGGCTCCCACACCTGGCACACAGGCACAGAGGCAGGCAGGCAGGTGGGCAGGGAGGTGGGGGTGCAAGGAGGCCGCGAGGCAGGGAGGAAGGGAGACACGGGGATGAGTGGAGGGTGTATAAGGCTAAACAGCACACATGCCGCCTGCCTGCTTCTTCTTGAGCCCGCTGACAATGTCGTCGATGCGCAGCAGCAGCATGCATGCCGCCTCGATGGCTGTTGGCCGATTGCCGTCTTCACCGTCTGCACCTTCACGCCGTACGGCTCCCACACCTGGCCGGGATGGGGGGCAGGGGGGAAGGGGGCAGGGGGACAGGGGGACAGGGGGGCAGGGGGACAGGGGGGCAGGGGGGCAGGGGGGCAGGGGGACAGGGGGGCAGCGAAGAGGCAACGAGGCCGCAGCTCAATGAGGGGAATGCATGGAAGGGGTGAGCAGGTGAGAAAAAAGGGGCGTGAAGAGAGGAGGAAGGTGTGTGAGGAGAGGAGGAAGGTGCGTGAGGAGAGGAGGAAGGTGTGTGAGGAGAGGAGGAAGGAGTGTGAGGAGAGGAGGAAGGTGTGTGAGGAGAGGAGGAAGGTGTGTGAGGAGAGGAGGAAGGTGTGCGTGCAGCGCACAGCGATGGGGAAACATGGAGAGGCATGCATGTCACACCACCTCCTCTTGTGCCTTCGCTCTCCCAACTCTGCAGCATTGACCCGTCGCTACCTTCCGCAGCTCTCCCCCCCACCACTCTTCCCCCCTACTCACCCCAAGCTCCTTCATGTCAGTGAGGGCACCCGTGTCGCCATCAATGCCTATGGACGTGTTGGCGCCTTGTGCGTGCTGTTGGGGTGAGGGGGGGGAGGGGTCGTGGGGGAGATGAGAGAGAGATGGGACAGATGACGCACATGGGAATCACCACGAACGTGTCAGCTGCTATGTGGGGGTTGGGATAAAGGAAGAGGCGATGAGCAAGGCCTGCCGCTCTCATCACTTCTCGCTCTCATCACTCCTTCACCTTGCCCTGCCGCCCACCTTGGCCTGCCGCCCACCTTGGCCTGCCGCCCACCTTGGCCTGCAGCGCAGTGACGGTGCGGATGACGCTCACTCCACAGTTCTGAGCCAGCGTGCGCGGGATGACCTCAAAGGCCGACGCCACTGCTCGGTATGGCCACTGATGGGGGGAGCAGAGGGGGGAGTAGATGGGGGGAGGGGGGGAGCAGAGAGGGGAGAAGATGGGGGGAGGGGGGGAGCAGAGGGGGAGTAGATGGGGGGAGGGGGGGAGCAGAGAGGGGAGCAGAGGCGGGAAGCTGAGGGGGGCGATGAGGGGGGCCAAAATGCGAACGAGAAAAAGGCAGTAGAGGCAGCGTTGATAGCTTGTTTGAGTGTGCTTGGACGATGCGTCGTTCCTCCAAGTGTCCACATGCTTCGATGTCCTGCATGCATGGTGACAGCCAGCCTTGCCCTTGAGGGTGGCCGGCACACTCATCAGATCATCTTCACTGCCAGCTCACCGTCATGCCCTCTCACCTGCTCAATGCCTGCCACGGTGCTGGCCTTGTCCTTGAGAGCAGCAGACACAGTCATCTCCACGGCACCTCCCCCCGGCACAAGGCGCCATGCCCCATGCCCCATGCCCCACTGCACCATGCTCACCTGCTCAATGCCTGCCACGGTGCTGGCCTTGTCCTTGAGAGCAGCAGACACAGTCATCTCCACGGCACCTCCCCCCGGCACGAGGCGCGGGTCCACCACCACATTGCGCGCCACTCCCATGGCGTCCTGAGGGGTGTGGAGAGGCAGAAGAGAGTGAGGATGGTTTGGTGTGGTGCGGTGGGATGTAGCGTGGCGTGGTGTGGTGGTGAGTGGGGGTGTGGGTGGTGTGTTGTGTGTGCAGGAACAGAAACAGGTGCCCCTTCCCCCCTTCCCTCGCGGCACAGTGCACACCTTGGGCAGCTCGCACCTTCCTACATCTGCACCATATAAACCCCCCCAACCCATCTCCCCTTCCCTCTCACCAGAAGATCCCTCACCTGCAGGTTTCTTGCCATCTCATTGAGAATGTCCTTGCTCGCCCCCCGGAGCAGCACGGTGTATGTCTTGGGCTCCTTGCACTCCACTTGAGCAACATTCCCTTCACACTCCTCTCCACCCATTCCCACACAGCCCCACCAGCAGATCCCTCACCAGCAGGTTCCGCGCCATCTCATTCAGAATGTCCTTGCTGGCGCCCCGGAGCAGCACGGAGCATGCTTTGGACGAGGTTCGTTGCTTGCACGCACCATCTCCTGCAACCGTGCCTTCACCTCTCGCTACTCCCATTCCCACACCACCCCACCAGCAGATCCCTCCTCACCAGCAGATCCCTCCTCACCAGCAGATCCCTCCTCACCAGCAGATCCCTCCTCACCTGCAGATCCCTCCTCACCTGCAGATCCCTCCTCACCTGCAGGTTTCTTTCCATCTCGTTGAGAATGTCCTTGCTGGCCCCCCGCAGCAGCACGGTGCACGCCTTGGGCTCTTTGCACTCCACCAGGAACGCGAAGAACTCGTCGCCGATCTTCCGCACCTCAAACAGCCCCGCGCCCGTCCCCACGTCGCTCTCCTGCAGCTCCTCCACTCGGTTCACAATCGTGGCTCCCACCGCACGAGCTATGCGGTTGTTATCTGTCTTGCGCAGCCTCCTGATGGCTGCGATGCCGGCTCTGGGTGGGGGGGAGGGGGACGGAAAAATGAGTAGTTTTCGAAATCAGGAGGTGAAAGTTGGAGCAGCGGGGGAGCAGGTGGGGGAAACAGAGGAGCACGGGTGCCGATGCACCTCAAACAGCCCTGCGCCCGTGCCCACGTCGCTCTCCTGCAACTCCTCCACCAGGTTCACAATGGTCGTGCCCACCGCACGAGCAATGCGGTTGTTGTCCGCTTTGCGGAGCCTCCTGATGGCTGCGATGCCAGCTCTGGGTGGGGGTAGGGCAGTGGGGAAGGGAAGAGGGGGAAACGGGAGGAGAGGGAGTGATGCTGGCTCTGGATGCGGGGAAGGGAGGAAGGAAGAGGGGGATGGCAAAAGGGAGAAAGTGAAGTGACGTTGGCGCTGGATGGG